CCTATGAAAGAAGGTGGAATTCTTGTACTTTGCTTTTCTAATTAGCGCACTAAGATTTAGTATATAGTGTCAGGCCTGTTTTAAATGTGTGTGAGTCACTGGTTCATATTTATTCTCCTCCAGTGCTCTTCTGGTGTCTTCAGCACAAGGGGCTTTTTGTGGACTGTATTGTGACGCCAGACTCTGGCACTCACAGTCAAGCCAGGGCTGAAGGCCAGCTCACACACACACACACACACACACACACACACACACTCCAGATGAATCAGAGCAGAGACGAGTCTGTGCCCAAACACACTCAACCAGCACAACCAAACACACTCCAGCTCAGCACACGGTAAAAGCAAAACCCGAATGGAGCCCATATCACAAAAACACATTGATCAATTACACTGTAAAAATAAGTGTAATTTTAACTGTAACATTTTGTAAAAAACGCTACGGGAAAAAACTGTTAATAGGTTAACAGTAAGTTCCCGTACTATATACAGGGAAAAACTGTAAAATATCTAACCAGACATTTCATGTCATTTTACAGTAAAATGCTGTTAATTTTACCGTTTTTAGAAGTAAAAATAACAAATCAATGTATAATTTACAGTCAAAAACTGTAAACTGATATTCCCAGAATTCCCTGCATGACACTCCACATTTGAAAGTATTTTGTTTAAATAATCGAGTAGTCTCTTGCTTCTCAGAGTTTTCTCCTGGGAGAGAAAAAAACTAATCTTATGTAAGCTACAGTTCAAAAGTTTAGGGTCGGTAAGACTTTTTAATGTTTTCAAACCCCTTCTGTTCATCAAGACTGCATTTATTTGATCAAAAATACAGCAAAATCAGAAATAGTATTACATGTAAATAACGGTTTTCTATCTGAATATATTTTAAAATGTAATTTATTCCTGTGATGCAACACAAAATTATTCTGGCAACCACAGCTGCCCAAATTATTTTGTAAAAACTACAGAATTTTTTTTACAGTGTAGATTTCTTTCATATATTTCCTAGGAGATTAAATGCAGAGTAAAATGAGTAGTCTCTTGCTTCTCAGAGTTTTCTCCTGGGAGAGAAAAAAACTAATCTTATGTAAGCTACAGTTCAAAAGTTTAGGGTCGGTAAGACTTTTTAATGTTTTCAAACCCCTTCTGTTCATCAAGACTGCATTTATTTGATCAAAAATACAGCAAAATCAGAAATAGTATTACATGTAAATAACGGTTTTCTATCTGAATATATTTTAAAATGTAATTTATTCCTGTGATGCAAAGCTGAATTTTCAGCATCATTACTCCAGTCTTCAGTGTCACATGATCCTTCAGAAATCATTCTAATATGCTGATTTGCTGCTCAAGAAACATGTCTTCTTCTTATCAATATTGAAAACAGATATGCTGCTTAATATTTCTTGACACTTAATGAATAGAAAGTTCAAAAGAACAGTATTTATTTAAAATAGAATAAATAGAAATTTTTCTAACATTGAAAATATCTTTGGTGTCACTTTTGATCAATTTAATGCATCCTAATAATTTATTTTTTCAGAGTAAAATTCTTGCCCTCAAACTTTTGAATGAGAGTGTAAAGGTTTAAAAAAAGATCTCAACAATGCCTCAAACTGTGCTCAGATTTGACAAGATACAAAAGTCAATGTCCTCAATATGAGCTCAAACATTTCTCATCAAATTCCTCCAGGACAAAATTCTCCACATTCATCTTATAGGGCTATACTTTTAGGAGTTGTAGGAGAAACATCTAAGACAAATTCAATACTTAAATGAAACCTGAAAATACAATTACATCCTGAGATACTGTATGAAGAGCAACCACTGAGCAATGAAAATCTCCTCTGGGAAGAAACAAATGCAAGTATAAACATTTCACCTCTTCGGGACGTGTTAAGAGCTCATAACCTCTTTTTCAAATACTTCAGAAAGTGGCACTCATGAAAACTGAAGAGGAAGTAAAACACAATCAAGCGATTCTACTGTATATACTCTACATGTTTGTGCCAGTTCAAGACTTTATTGCTTAGGTTAAATGTCATCAAAAATGCAATAATGACTTATCTAACTACAAATAATCTATATATTAAATATCATTCTTGCATTTCATATTCTAACAATTGAACGGTGTGAAATATCACAGCAGTATAATAACACTGTTTATTCATTTAAAGTGATCAGCTTTAAACATAACACATAGGATTCAGTGACTTATGCCCACATACCTGACTGAATCCACCTAGATGGAATGAAATGTAAATCCTGAAAATGTATACAAGAAATGTCAAGAAAAACATTATGCAGTGAACAAATATGTCTGGTGCACAGTTCACCGAACCAGCCGCTCCACACATGCTGCTGTCTTTCTTACCTGGTGCTGGATTATATGATCTGAACTGTACTGAAGGAATGAAAGGGTGAGAACTGGGTCTCTGAACCAAGTCCATCCTTACAGTAGAGGCACGCTGACCCCAGAACAGTTACCCACTGTCTCACTGGCCAAAGTGCCAAGGTCAAAGACTGACCTTCCCGCACAAAAATAACCACCTAATGAGTGTGTGTGTGTGTGTGTTTAATGGCTTCTTAGTTCCCATCAATATCTGCATTAGCTGCACAGGATTGGTCAAAATTGGTCCCTATTTTTGCCTTGTTCGTCAGCAAGCTATCTGAACATCATTAAAACAAGATACATTTACTTGAGAAGCAAAATTGCATAATATATGAAGACTTGTTTTCATATATATTTTCACAATTTTATTTTGTAATAATAACAATAACAATAATAATTTATATCTTTTACCTCAATATGCAATACACTACAATGCTTTTAACATATTTTAATTACTTGATATTGTTGTCTTGTTTTCCAGTAAAAATACGTACACATATATGAACAAGATATGCTTACTTAATATATTACGCAAAATTGCATAATATATTAAAAAGGTCTTTTTTTTTCTTCGCTAGATCTCATTCTTATAACAAGATTACATATTTAAAAATATCAACAAAAAAAAAATACAATTAAGTTTCGTTAAAATTATTACATTTCAAAGTATGCAAAAGTTGTGCAAATTTAAAAAGATAATAATTATTATTTTATATACAAAAGATTAAACAAATATTTTTTTAATTACATTTAATTTGAAATAAAATAGTTTTAATAAAAAATATATATATTTTTTATATTCTTGTTATAAGCTTAAAATATAGTGAAGAACAAGGGAAAAATGCATTTCTTAATACATGACGCAATTTTGCATAATATATTAAGCAAATATATCCTATTCAATGTTTATGATGTTTACGCATGTTTACTGTAAAACAAGAAAAAAATACGAATTAAAAAAATATGTGATAAGAATTGCGGTTTACAACATGTCAGGTTAAAGGATATTACTTTTAAACATATGCCTCGAACCCTTTTCGTCCAGTTGTTTTTGATTGCAAAACCCTAAAGCCGCCTAATTATACCCAATTAGTTGAATAGTCATTCTGACAAACCACAGACTAGTTCATTTTGAAAATATGTAGTTTTGCACATCTCTGCTCTGTACCTCTCCTGCATCTCTCTCTCTCTCGCTCTCTCTTTGATGTTAACTAAGGCTGTCTGCCTCTGTAGCATGTGCCAGGCTGAGGTTAAGTAGATGAAATATGCTGACATAAAATCAGGCAAACAGCTTTAGCACAGCACACACGGAACAGTGACTGGTTATATCAAAGTCCCTTTAACAGAGCACATCAAAACGCCTCTGGACGTAGCCATGAACCAAAAGAGACCTCGGAGGAAAAGGAGGGAACAGAAAAAGAGAGAGATTTGTCATCACTTTTCCAACTAAATAACTCTTAAAACTCTGCTTGTGTCAAGCCGTCCGCGTGCGAACGCTGGCGTTATGCTATAAAAGCGGCATGGATCTTTTATTCAGCCGAATAAAAGAATCAGGCCATTCCGAGGGTCTTATTATCATGCCTTTCCCAACATCCTCTCAATCCCGCTTCCGTAATTCTTCTATCTTTATCTCTCACACCTTCTGTACCTCTCACCTTTCCATCTCACAGCTCACACTTGCTCTCTTACTTCTCTTTTCTCCCAGTAATGGGGTTTGGTGCTGTAGAAGATTGAGGGGGGATGTTTTGTGTGTGTGTTTGTTGTGGGTGGTCCGAGCCGTGCCTCGCCGCTCTGGTCAGCCTGAGTCTAATTGCCGGTGTTGTGGTGCTAAAGTCATCCGGAGAGCCGTGTGGAGCCAGTGGGGGAAAATTGAACAAGCATCACCCGTCAGGAGTGCTTCCACTCAGAGAAGCTGTCAGCCTGCCCTGTTTACCTGCTACACAATTATCATCCGCCCCTGGGGAACCCTATGGAACAACACATGCATCCTCTGGGGGACAAAGAGGGGCCACGGGGGAAGCATGATGGTCGAATATCGCAGAGGGAGATCGCTGACTGAATCTTGTTGTGTGTTAGCGGCTGGAAGTAAATTAAGCATACAAAAGTCTGACAGGTTACGATATGTGCAACAGAGACATGCAAAGCCGTGAGGGTGAAAGAATAAGGGCCGGCTCACGCACAACGTGTTTTTGCATTCCACCACAATTTTTATTGTCTGTTTCATTAACTGTTTAATTGTTTTTCTATGCTAACATGCATTAAATGGATGCCTTTGACAGATTTGCTGAAATTCTTCGCATTTTTAAGTAATTTTCGACTGCTGTTTTGCTATTTTCTGCTGTCCGTTATTTCTGGAGCAAGCCTCATAAAAGTGAATCTCGAGACCTTTGCAATCTTTTTTGTTTCCTTCTGATACACCCGTGCTGGCACAATGATTCAGAATGCAAACGGGCTAATTTTGAGCTACAGGCAAAAAAAGTGAAAAATGTCAATTTTGGTCGAATTTGAGTTTTTCACAAAATTGAGCCCTCGTCTAGCGATCCCAATATTCCAAATAGTAATTCAACCTCTAAAATGATCTTTATTTGTATGTTTTCTGAGAGGTGTACCTTTTTCTCTGCTCGCTTCTTGTCGACTGCTGCTTCCCCTCTGCACAAGTTTAACATCGTAAAGCGCAGCATTCCAGCTTTGTGAATATTCATAGCGAATTCTCGATGGCATGAGTCTGAACCCATGAAATGTGATGTTCAAACCCATGCTGATGTAAACAAAACGATCGCGCTGACTGACATCTGAAGTGTGCGCAAAAAGACGGTATTTCAAAATATCTGTTATGTCTTAAGTGAACATTTGGTCAACTGTTGGGGAAAAACATCTGATGTGCAACATTATATCTGTGCATTACAGTAGGTCTTAATATACAGGCCGTATGTCTCAATAATGTTAATCTAACAATAAAAGAAAAGAGGGAATCACTTACTGATTTTTTTTAATTAAGTATTTTTTTAAATAATTATTAACTTTATTAAAATAATTATTAACTATTATATATATATATATATATATATATATATATATATAGAATAATTATTTGATGGACGTCTCCTGGAACTTGTCGGAAGCGCTGCCTGCTGTCTTGGTCCACCGCACCTGCAGGGGGCGACATTCAGAGACTCTTGAGCTAATAATAAACATGCAAAACAATTTCATTTCAGCGCATGTTTTACATTTAGATATTTCAATCAATCAATCAATGATTCAGATGTTGAATTAAAAGAATCACTTAGCATTTGGTCTCTCTTTTGCTTATATTTGATTGTGACCAAGAAAATATGAAGCATCTAAACAATCATGTTATGTCAAAATTTGTCTTTGTTTTAAGAAACTGAAACTGAAAAAACAAAAAAAAAGTTGCAGATTTTCAATGAGGTCTCAGACTTTCCTGTATTTGTATATTTAGATCAATAAAAAGTGTCATGTCTTAAATGTATAAATGTATTTTTTAACATTCAAATATTTTAAAGTAACAAAATCAAAGCTTGGAATATAATCATCAAAATAAGAAAACATCATAATATAAATGTATAGTCCATGAAAAGATATGTCTTAAAAAAAGATTAAATCTCATTTATTAAGTAAATACCTTTTTATATTAAAATATTGATTAAACATACTGTATATGTTAAATTTATAAAATATAAACATATGAGGAAAAGTCACAGAATCTCAGACTTAATATGTGCATACACACCCACTGATACATCTATAAATAATAACCATGTAAACGCAGAAAGATTTCATTTCTTTTCTCTTACAAAGTAATAACTGAATGTAGAGTTAAAAGTGCAAAAAATGTACAGAGACGTATAAAAAGTCCGGTCACAAAGATAATCAAGATCAGTGGGACTCAACAAGTTTAGTGTTCAGACTATCTGTAATCAGAGTCTCATCCATCTCAATCATTCTTTTGACTCCTTCAAACAATCTTTGCATTGAGTATGTAAGGTCAAGTGAAAATCACAAACTAAAGCCTGTGTAATCTCCTACACTTCTCCACCTCTGGACATCAGTAAGCTGCTTGCATTATTACCCGGGGTCACCTCTGAACAGGGTGAGCAGCCGATTGTAGTTGGACGTACGTGCAAAGGATTATGGGATTACACCGACCTGTGTAAACGACAAGCTTTGTGTTTATTCAGGTTTATTTGCCTGTGGATTTGGGACACAGCTGCTGTTCATTTATCAGGTGTGGTGGGTGAGAAATTAACACAGAGGAAGGGAGAGAGAGAGCCCCTGCTGGGAGTAACCTATCCTCTCGGTGGAAAAGGACAGAAAAGCTGGTCAAAAGCTGTTTGATGGGGCAAAATCATTAAAAAGTTGTGCCACTTTCTTGTGTAGATTGTAGCATATAGTCCTGCTCAAGCTACAACTCAGAACCGACCCACAAAGTGAGGAACTGCTCTTACAACTTGTGGTGTGTCATTAAAGTTTACACCCCTGGATCTTGATGCATCGTTTTTTTCTATCTGGAGCATCAGTGAGCGTTTGAACCTTTTGTAATAGTTGTGTATTTAAAACAGCATTCTTCCATCTTAGAAACATCCAAACAAACTTCCATCTGATGCAGAAAAGCTAGTTCATGCATTCATGACCTCTAGACTGGACTATTGTAATGCACTGCTAGGTGGTTGTCCTGCATCTTCAATAAACATGCTACAGGTGGTCCAAAATGCAGCGGCTAGAGTCCTTCATGGTAAAAACAACTGTTTATTGTAATTAGTGATAGGACTGTACATTATGTCTTAAATGTTCGTATTGTCTGACTTCAAAAGGCTCAAAGCAGTTTGTTAGGAACTGTTTTTCTTCGCGGAAGCTTTGCGTAAGAGCTATTAAAATATTTAAACTCAAGTCAATATTTCGTGTCTAATTTAGTTGAGACAAGTAGCCGTGTAATAAGCGGGATAATGTACATCCAGCCGGTTGTTATCTCGTGTCGGGGTCTTGTATCAGCCTGAAGGGGTTTATTCTGAGATAACAACCGGCTGGATGTACATTATCCCGTACTTTTTTTTTTTGATATGTAAACTTTTGAACGGGGTCATTTTTATGAATTCAACTATTATTTTCTCCTGTGGACTATATGTAAATGTCTTTTATGTGAAATATCTTGACCTGAAATATCAGGTCAATACTAAATAAAAAAATTACATGCATTTTGTATGATTAACATTAATTCATATTATTACACAGCTCTGTGGAATACTTGATTCTGATTGGTCAATCGTGCCATCCAGCGGTATGTTACACGAGATAACAACCGGCTGGATGTACATTATCCCTTACTTAATAAACGATTAAACAAGATTTTTGAAGCATGTTTTACAAGAAAATACTACTTTAGTTTTTCTACCGCAAAATTTCATGTTTAATTCAATGCGCTAATTGCTGTTTCTTTGTAATTAATTGTGAAATTTACTAGCAATTTCCAAATTCATATACATTTTCCAACACCAATTTTTTTTCAGCGTACCTTAGTTAAAGTTAATTAATTTTAATTCAATTGAACCTTGCTGTAAAGTGTTAGCATATTTTCAATATGTAATATATACAGTATATATACTGAATTATATTATATAATGTATAATATACACACATATTAAAAATATTACAACATTTAAAAATATGCTAACACTTTACAGTAAGGTTCAATATATATAACATATATAATATTTAATATAACAAATTAACACATCTATCTATCTATCTATCTATCTATCTATCTATCTATCCATCTATCTATCTATCCATCTATCCATTCTCCAAACTGCTTCTCTGTAGGGTCCATGGACTAATGAAGGCAAAATGATAATTAAAAATATTGGAAAAACTTCTTACAGCTACTGGATACATACATTTTTGTATATATATTTACATACAGTATTTTTTTAACTTTCTATAATGAGAAAAGTTGCTACTGTAGGTCACAGCACCCTTTCAATTCAAGTGCAGTAGTGAGCTGAACCTCTGAAAGTGTTGATGCCTATATCAGGATCCACCATTGGTTGTGAATGTTCAAAAAATGTCCTGTTTGTTTCCTCAGCAGCCCAAAACTCTGCCATCATCGTGTTGATTCATCGTGGCTCTCAAAGGGCCGGCGCTGGCAGATGTAAGACAGATGGCGCTGGATAGGCTATCATTACAGCGGCCTCAGACGGCTCACTTACAGCAACGCAAAGTCACAGTGGCACAGAAACTTTCAAAGTCTCAGTGATACGAAGAGAAGAGCGTCAGAGACAGAAAGGAGAGGACGGCTGATGGTAACAGACACCGGAATGCTCCAGCTACAGGACACACAACAGGGGACGAAGAAATTGGTCATGAAACAGATGAACCAGTGAAAGAGACAACGCTGCCCTTCTCGACATCACCGTGTTTAACTGCTCCAGAGATCCCAATAGACTGTACAAAACCTGTCTGTCTGTCTCCCTCTGTCTTCACTCAATCTTTTCTGTCTGCTCTTGGGAAAGAAATCCCATGAGTCTCTGTTAGCTGTATGCTAGCGTTATTCATCTGTCTCTACTGCAAAATCAGGCTCACAATATGCTCTGATATGCTTTCTGAATCCCATCTTTCCATTTTGATAGAAATTAATTTGGTTCTGTTTGCTCAGACCAAGAGCAGGGTTATCACCATTAACTAAAACTAAAAGTAAAACCACAATCAATCAATCAATAAAAATTCATTACTTATATTTCAATACAATTAATATTAACTAAAATAAAATATTTTAAAAACTTCTTTATATTATTTCAGCTAGTTTCCAAGGCAACATTTCTCATTTTCTTAAAGTTTAACTTGAAGTACTAAAATAACTCAAACTAAATTATTTAAAATTAATAAAAAAAACCTATACAGACATACTTTATTAACAATAATAATAATAATAATAATAATAATAAATGACAACAATTACTAAAACTTTAATTACTCAAAAATTAAAATGAAAACTAAAAAAATAGAGAAATAAAATCTAATTCAAAATATTAACAAAAGCTATAGTATGCTACGATATATATCAATGAGACTACAACACTGACCAAGGAACAGTCATAACTAAATGATCTGGCTGCATAAATCATCTTTCTACACTGATGGTCATTCAAAATAAGCTATGTGTTTTGTAGGAACCAAATATTTGCAATCAACATTTAAAAACAAATAATCCAATATAGTTGATTTTATTATAGTAAGTTTACTCACAAAGCTGACAAAAAGGTCCATAATGAAGCTGCAACAGGCAGCAAAATGAGGAATTTTAGTTTTTAGCTTTAGATATGACATTCGATAAAGGTCAAAATAAATTAGGAGAAAACATAATATAGAGCAATTAGGATTCAATTTCTCATTGTACTCCAAAAAAAACTCTTAAAAACAAAGGGGTTTTGCAGCAATGCCACAGAACCACTATTTTGGGTTCTCTAAAGAAGCTTTATATGAAAATGAACCATTTTTTATTAGTGTGAAGAACGTTTTAATAATCAAAAGAACCTTTTTTTCACTATTAAAGGGGTCATATGATGCGATTTCAAGTTTTCCTTTCTCTTTGGAGTGTTACAAGCTGATTGTGCATAGATAAATGCCAATGAAGAACCTTTATTTATTTTTTTAAGATTGAGGTCATTTTCTCTGTAATTTTTACCTAGGTTGTGTGAGGAAAAATAGTTTCATGCTGGACTGAAATCATAAAGTACATTTACCTGACGTCCTCAGGGAAAGCTTCTCGCGTCCGAAGAGAGCTTTTATCATCCCACTCCCATTTTTCCAAACCTTCTCTCTCTCGCTCTGCTTCAGGTTTTCTCTTCCCGCCTATCCTATAACTGCCTCTATAAATTAAGTTCTCTGCGAGTGACACCAATTCAAGTCAAGCATCCGCAAAGAGACGTTTATTGCTTAATGCCTGTCAAGCCTGCTTAAATCTGGGCGGCTGTGGTCCTCTTCAGCGCTAGCACTGGTTTATTGCTACTGTAAGCGCATTTAATGCTCATTGCCGGGCTTTTTATGTTTGAGCATGTTAAATCGGTGAAGAGTGATTACTACACACAAAAGCTCAATGTTTGCAGCTTAGCTTTAAACTGGCTATTACTCTAAAA